GATGATCGTAGGGATCGAAACATGTAAGGGTGATGAGTTTGCAAGTGATAAAACTTAAATAGTCACACTGGACGGTGTTGTTTTTGTCTTTGTAAAACCACGGAGTTTTTGTTTGTAGATACGTAGAAACATGTGTATCTCTATACACCACTAGGTTTGATTCTATCAGTATACATTCTCAGTTATCTCTGAGCCTGGAAGTAAACCAGACACTCAAATAAATAGTATATGGACCGACTTATTTAGCCTTATATATATATATATATAAACCAGAAGAACGGAAAACATATTAACCAATTAATCTGTATACCAGTCAATTAATCATCAACTTATATTACTGCAGATTCATTATCGCTCTCGTTGTCAGCTTGACCTATCCATTCGTCCAATTCTATTTTGTTTTTCAGGTATTCCTGTAGCTCTGTCATTCCCACATTTCTTGAAGGGGGACCCCAGACTACTGGAAAAGATGGACGGTTTATCCCCGGACCCCAACAAGCACGAGACCAATATCGTCATTCAGCCGGTTAGACAAGTTTATTCTATTCATGCAGCATTTACTATGAATGGTTATGATATCTGCCTGTCTTACGCATGAAGATTAAACTTAAGTATACCACTGTGTCCTAATGAACAGGATGTCAGAAACGTGAGCCCTAGCCTGATGGCTGTACGGGCAATGATTTGCAGTCTTACATGAGGTTTGCCCGAATAAATGGAATATGAAGTAGGTAACTAGAATACTTTTACTAGTAAGGATTAAATAAACTGCATGAGGATCTTCATAACTTGTACTGTTCTCCATGTATAATTAGAATGATCAAGTCAAGTTAGGATGAGGTGGGCATGGCATGTAGCACGAATTAGGTAGAAGAGGCCTGCATATAGGATATTGATGGGAAAGAGACCACTGGGAAGACAAAAGGCTAGGTGGATGGACAATATTAAAATAGATCTTAGAGATATAGGATGGGATGGTATGGATTGAATTCATCTGGCTCAGGATAGGGACCAGTGGAGGGCTCTTTTGAACACGGTAATGAATCTTCGGGTTCCATAAAATGCTGGTAAATTCTTGAGTAGCTGCAGATTTGGCTTCTCCTCAAGAAGGGCTCAGCTCCGTAAGTAAGTAAGTAAGTAAGTAAGTAAATAAATTGAGTTTTCTCTGAACAGAAAGTAATGAGGAACTTATGAGTTATGTCACTTATCTGAGAGTCAATCAATTTGGTAGTAGACGAGAACGCACTGTTTGAGAAAAATAGTGAAATTTATAAATGAATGGAAGGATGGATGGATAGGTCGACAGAAAGGCGGACGGATTGATTGAAGGATAGTTGAACAAATGAATCTGTGATAGAATAAAAGAATGGATGCTTCTACAGCAGATAGAAATGTAGCTCTGCAAACCTATGCAATCTCCAGTTTACTGAAAGTAAGAAACGAGAAATGTACATATGAAAAGACTGCTTCATTGCTGAATGTACGTGGCTCGTTGTAACGCTCACAAGAAAATATCTACACGTTATACACGGTACTAAAATAACAACTAATTTAGTTAAATGTGAGGATTCTGTGCCGTTGTTTTTATCAAATATATGTAAAATTATAGTTTTCAGTCAAATAAAAATTTAATGTAACACGATTAAAATTAATTAAAATGTTATAAGCTTCAGCGATTTTAAATCACCATTATCAGACTCTTATGTTTCAGAAGTGGAGCGCAAGCTCATTAGGTGGCAGTTCTGCAAGCATACTCGGATGTTACTTACATAAGAAGGACATTAATAAATAAGATACATAGCAATTGTTAAAACTGTAAATATTGGGGCAGGTGTGGGGATTGTTTATAAGAAAGTCATTGGGACGCAGGCCCCATAAAGACAACAAACAACAACAAACAACAACGAAATTCATAACTACATGCAATTATGTTAAAATTAAAGAAACTGTAACCAAAGAAATTATATTTGCTTCTGTGAAGAGACTTACGAATATGAGGGTAGAAGCTCGGGCTGTATACAGTTGTATGAAGAAACAGACTGCTTTGACTGTGTTGCCTTGTAATGCTGATATTTGTGTTGTGGTGCTTGAAGAGGGACTGCAAGTTGACTCTAGCTTAAAAGTGTTATGTAGTACTGTTGTCATAATTCGTAGTTCAAAATGGCATCGAAGATGGGGCTGTAAGCGTCTATCCAACTGTCGTTTAAATGAATTTTCAATTTAGATTTTTTATACAGTATATACACTTGATCATGTGTCATACAAGTTACATTTTTTATGTTCATGCATATACATACCTGATACGACGATTAAGATCAATAAAGCATTATTTTTCCTTGGCACTACAGCCCCAGTGGGCCTAGGCCTACCTCCATGAACTTCTCCGTTCACTTCGCTTTTTCTAGACCTTACACATTCGGTACGACTCCTTGGGCGAGTGATCAGCTCGTCGCAAGGCCTCTACCTGTACACAAACACAGAAAAAGGCACACATACAAACTAAACATCCATGCCCTGAGTGGGATTCGAACCCACGATCCCGGTTTCCAAGCGAGCGAAGACAGTGCATGCCTTAGACCGCTCGGCTACCGTGGTCGGCTCAGTAAAGTAAAAAACCATTTAATTTTCTTCTAATTTTATCACGATAAAATTCGTATCTGACTGGAATATGTACGTTTATATAAGATTAAATTTAGTTTCCAGACGAATGTCTAATTTCATCAGTAGGCCTAAACAAAACAACTGGTGTTCCAGAAAGAATAGAGCTATGTTAAGGTCCTTATGTGGTGAGGGATGGCCATATTGTCTGCCATTCTGATGTATGGAATCATTTGTCTTCGCTATATTCAAATTCAGAATGACGCTTTAGTGCCCTGACTAGAAATCTGGACCGTACACAATTTTTTACACCTTTCGTTAATTACGCGAATTGGGACAACCTAGCTGGAAACTAGCGGTCCCGTCCAGCTAAGATAACGCTTCAAAATATGTGGCAGACATTCCCAGGGCGCCTCATTTCCAGAGAAAAGTTATCCTATACTTGGGGTTTCCGGAGTTCATATGACTGGATGCTTATATGTGGGGCCTAGTGAACAATAACCGAACAGATAGGAGTCAAGACGTGGATGGTTAGACACTATAAACATGCGAAAGCTAGTATAGAAATTAATCAATATTATCCATATCTTGAGTCATCTTATTAGATGGAATGCAAATTTATACATTTTTCTGTTATTCAGAATATTTACTACTGAATTTGCATTTTTAACTCTGATGTTACAGCACCACTGTCATTTGGAGCCTAATTGTAGAACTGTTTCGTTTTACGTGGCTTATTTTCGGAAGCGAAGGTGTAAAATCAGGCAGTTGCAAATGAGTGACAGACTGCCGGACGTGGGCCAGAAGATAAAACAATTATTAAATCTTAGAAACATGGATAATTTAGACCACAACGAAAGAACTGGAAATTAATTGTGAGGTCAATTAAACGACCACAACATTTGTTTATCAGTCTGAGAAATCAGGGAAATCCACGGGGAACTAACTTGCTTGATGTTACGTATCGAGGTAAGATATGGAGAAATTTCGCCTTGAGCCTTTTTGGGTAAAGGTAAAGTTGTCTCTGTGCTTAATTAATTAAGCATTGCGCTATGAAGGTGTATGAGGGAGTGGATTTATAGATTCACATCTTCTTGACCTCAGCACTATTTGAAGGTAAGTGGTCAGCTTCACGCCCTGGCCGCTTTACCCCGGTACCCATTGTATAGGAGACTGAGTAAACCCCCGAGCCTGTCTGGACCGCTTGGAGAAGAGAAAATTCTTGACCCTACCGAGACTTGAATTCCACCTCCTCCGTCCAGCACGTATCCAGTCGCTATACTGACTGCGCTATCCCGGCTCGTATAATAATAATATTCCAGCCATTTATTTATTTACATGCTAACCTAATACTCCAAAGGCTTTTATGAGTCCCTTATTTTATTTAAGACGCGTCACAAATTTACATCCTTAGAGAAATGCGCATTTTAAGATATATGTTTATTACTTATTTTATTCTTCGAGACCCGACAACGAGAACAATTATGGCCCCGCAAAAAATGATATAAACATATTTCAGAGTGACATATGACATATCTATATTCCGATAACGTTGTAAATAAGATGTTCACAGCGGTGAATACAAAGAGCTGCAATGCCGTGTACTTTGGCACAAGTCCACTGACGGCCTTTCGAAATTATTTCAACCTTCTAGCAGACTACATGACTTTACATCCCACAACATTGTAATGATTTTTCCGTGTACCTTCAACGTGATGAGTGTCACTTTGTTATATCCATGGCTCTACAGTTCGTTGCTGGACCTTGGCCGCTTTTGCAGATTCTTAATCCTATACACAGACTGCAGGACTCCTTGGACGGGGGATTAGCCTGTCGCAAGGCCGCTACCTACACACAGAGCAACAGAAACACAGAATAAACGCATACAGACATCCACGCCTTGAGTGGGATTGGAACCCACGATCCCAGTGTTCGAGGAAGCGAAGAATGTTTGTGCCTTAGACTTTGATAGATGTCAGTATGATTACATCTTTTTGTATTGCTAGTGGGGTGGGACTAAGTCCCTTTTACTGCGGCCAATTCTGGCCTATTGTACCAGTCCCATAAGATAGGTGAGGGTGATTGTGGAGCAATTGGTGGAATGAAGATTGGCAGGGGAAACCGAAGTACTCGGAGAAAACCTGCCCCAGCGCCACTTTGTCCACCACAAATCCCACTTGACCAGACCCAGGATCGAACCCACCCGCCGCGCTGGGAAGCCAGCAACTAACCGCTTGAGTGATTACGTCTTACAAACTTATGTATCGTATGGTTTTATATTGCAAAAGCAAGCCATGTGAGTAATAAATTTTCCAGTGATGCTTTGTATTTCTGGGTGTTGTTAGTAGACGGACGGATGGAAATGCGCTCTGTTGCAGGATCTGGGCCTGCCCATGACCGTCCGGTTGCGAATGCAGCTGAATCTCGCCGTGCTCAACACGCGCCTCAACTCCCGGGTGGCAGTCTTCAACAACCACACACTTCCCATCTTCTGGCTAGACTGGGTCAGTCGGCCATGGATTATGGTTGTACTTACTTAAATGCATCCTGTCAGAATGTCTCTCTCTCTCTGTCTCGCCGCACTCAATTAATCACTAAAGGCGGCCGCACACCAACTGCGTCAAGACAAGCATCAAGACATGAGACAAAAGACGCTATCTTACTTCATTCGTGACTCGTCAGCATGAGGCTGGCGTCAGCATCATGACTCAGACCGGTGTGCGGCGGTTTTCATAATCCCATTCACTTCAAATGTGCTCCTTTCGTTGTGCCATGCCGCAGACATCGTGTCTTGACTGTTACATGTCTTGACGCATGCAGGTGTGCGGCTTACCTAACACATTCACTAACATTTTGTTCATTCGTTTTTTCTCTCTCTCCACTTCTTACATGTTCAGTTCCTGAAGACAGTCCTTTTTATACTTAGTACGAAATTGGAACATCGCCATGAAATATAGTCCCAACGTACTGTATCCTGAACCACTTAAATCAAATATCCATTACAAATAATTCCTCTGTGACCATTTTCAAGACCTTCTTTTGTGATATACATAAAAAAATTCTACACACGATTTGTATGAACCGCTCGTGATGATAGTGTGTGCAGTACAGCTCAGCATCTCCTACTACTACTACTACTACTACTACTAGTACTACTGCTACTACTACTACTACTACTACTGCTTCTACTATTACTGACACTAACACGAACAAGAAAATAACCATAAAAATAAAGAAAAATTGAACGATGTTTCTTCTTGTTATTCTTTTTCTTCTCTTACGTACATCTTTAATCTCACCTTAATGCAAATATCTCACAGACACTTGCAGTGCGTTTCCTGCGCTAAAGTCGCTGAACAATATTCTGACCAAAGTACTGAAGAAAAAATTGTAGTTTTGTATGTATTTATGTATATAGTGTATCTTTCGGTGATTTTATTTTCTTTTTTCGAAACAAGAGAATGGTATTAATGATTATAAACTGAATAATGACTGAACTCTATATCTTGATACAGTGGTAATCGTTAATTAAGTTCCGTTTCCAAAATTCTGAAACGTGCTAACTTTACACAGTTCCTTTCTCTAAAGCTTTCCTCCTGATGAAGTCAGCCATTCAATGCTTACAGTATTTCGACATGCCCGACGTGGTTTCCCGCCTTATGTATCTGGTGCTCTTCGTGGCCCCTGCTCTCCAGTCCGCTGCCATAGTGCTACTGGCGCTGCTGGGAGTCGCCATGTTGGGACTGGCCGCGTGTAGCTGCAGCAAGAAGAACAGTGCTGTGGCCAGCAAGATACTGAGCAAAAGCCAACACTTGCTGGAGAAGAATACGGGGGAGCAGCTACTGGGCCGGACACAATACAGGGCGCGAGTGGGATGCAGGTGAGGCTCAATGGGACTTACTACAGGACCGGAAGCGGTTGTGAAAGATTTGGAGTCGTAGTACAGGAAACCGAAATATTCGAAATTTTCTGCAAAATAATCCACAATGAAAGAAAGGCGAAGATTCAAACATCTGAAGACAGAGAATATAGGAGAGTGATTTATTTAAATTGCAGGAACAATATATAGGGATAAGTTGTAAAACGATAAATTCAGCTGGAAGTGGAGATTCATTTGGCGAAATTGTTTCGCTCTTAAGTGCATATTATGTATGCAAATAAACAGTAACTTAAGTGGGAAGAGAATGAACATTGAAGTAGGTAGCATGATCTGCAGAACTGTGAGAAAGCTACAGGAACCATTGTTATGTCATCGGAATCAACCGTGGGAACAATGCAAGTTCTGCAGTAAAGTGAGGACTATTTCCAAAGTACGCACTATTGAGGGCGCTATACATTTTGTGTACGGACAATAGATGTAACATAGAAATATAATTCGAGGAACACAAAATACTGTGTCAAAGTGCGGTTTACGTTTGCGATCTGTAAGCTTGTGATATACGTGTAATTTGCAGACAAGTAAAGAAATCACAGAGACCACGGTGAGTCCTCGGAATATTTTGTTTGAATATTATAAATTTTCTAGAACATATGTCGGTATATGCTTTATACGATATATGGAAAATGTAAGGGAAATAGATACACTGTAAGAATATTATGTGCCTTGCATGAAAATTTATTTTTTTTCAAGAAAATGGATTCATTATTACACGTCATAAGTGACTTACTGTAAGTAAACATGTTTATGTAAAGACTACAGTGCTCACTGCACGCGTGCACAATGAAAATCGATTCTCGTCTTAGGACAAAGAGAATTACTGCACTTTCAATGAAATATTTATAGATATATCACACATAATTCTAATATGGATTTCTTGATATAATGTCAAGCGTTCTAGACGAAGTGGATGTTTTATGAGCAAAACTATGGATATACTGATTTTTCTATATGAAAGCAAGTACAACTAAAGTGCCATGAGGTGTAATATCGAATATACACTTACGATTTTGAAGAATATTGAATTCTAAATATATTACCCAAAGTGTCCACAATATAACCGTAGAATATGAAGTGCTGAAATTTATTAAAAAGAAAAGTTAATTATTACTGCACTTTATAATTTCGGGGTATATAAATGAATAAGTCTTATAGGGGGGTAAGGTAACAATATACTAATATTTCTGAATGTAACAGAAAAATATTATTATTATTCAGTTTATATTCTTCTTTATCTCTTTACTTTTCTCGAATTATATACACATACTCTTTTAGTCATATCAGAAATAGAATACTGAGCAAACGTAATTAGATGTAAGGCAGAACGAACATGAAAACTGGCAATAAAAACTGTTAGGAAAATGAGAGTTTATTTTTTTATCAGAATTGCTGATAGTGCGGCTGGAAGAATTAGGTCAATTGAAAAAAATCCAAAGACCTCATCGGGACTTGAACTCGCGACCTTACGGCTTGCAGCATAGTGCCTCAACCAACTACGCTACCGTGTGCCCCAAGAAATAATAATATATAAAAATTATGTACTCACTCTAGGCAATGAAAAGTTGAACTTTACAAACCTTTACCAGAATTCAGTGGCTAATTCGTAAGGTAATAAGAAACGTGAACGCCTGGATATTTTATGCAGCAATGAGCACTACTCATTTGTCAGAGAAGTTGCCGCATAAGCGGGCGCTTGAACTTCGCTGATATGGCGGACATCTATGCGATAATCCATTTCGTCCCACACCCGTGTCAGCATTTCACGGTTGATCAGAGTCACAGCAGCGGTGATACGGTTGCGAAGGTCCCTGAGATTAGCAGGCAATGGAGGCACAAAGACAGTACAGGAGAGGAAATTTTCCAGTTTATTGTCTCTCAAGTTACGGTAACTTACAACTGGATGTATCTTGCATATTGACTGTACGTAGTGTTCAAGTTGAAAGACACGAATTTTATTGATCTCGAAACCAATTCTGAGAGCGGAGATAAATCTTCTGGAATTCTTTACAACTGCACTAGATAGAGTAAACTTCTGCTATTGGTAATCTCAATGTAGAAATTCACGAGGTTGGTTGGACCTAAGAGCAAATCCGGGCGTTCCGGCGAAAGAAAAATTTCGACAAATATACAACGAAATTAACTGTGTTCGCCTAGTTATTTAATCACCTAAAAATCCATGGTTTTAGTCCTCAAGCGAACCATACCGACCGAGCGACCGCCGCTTGTCAGCGAAATTAGTACCAAATTTAGCGGATAGAGGGTGTCACGTGATGAGCGTAAAGAATACCATTGGCAGTTAATTTTGGTTTTCTAGACCGGAGCAGCTATTTCCTTGAAATAACTCCTCAATTATCCTCACGAGGCTGAGTGAACCCCGTTCCAGACCCAATACTTCTCAGGAAATCTAGTAGCGCAGGCAAGCGAACCCAGACCTCTGGCTCTGTAGCCAGGAACTCTGACCACTAGACCACAGAGACGGTCCATATAACAGGTACGAAGAAAAAAGTTGTGGCATTGGTTATATAAATGTCAACTAATTTCATCAGATTGAGGACTGGGTGAAGGATTTTCCGATAGGGATACAATTGCATTGGATTTCATAACCCGAAATTGCGTACTCAGTTTAGTGTCTAGCAGCTACTGAAGGAAGATTCCATGACAGTGGTGACCTGTTCCTCGTCATAGCTCCTTTACTAATTGCCTCCTAACCTTGCTCCACAACGCCCATGAAGATCGCCTGTGTCCTGAAACACGCATTCTTGGGCAATGTGGACAAAACGCTAACACTAAATTCACTGTCAAGAACACAGAAACTTGTTTGTGACTATGGCCCAAATCATGACCTTGAGCCTGTGTATTCAAGTTCATCTATCTAATCAAGCCACAAATAATATATTTTTGTGAATTCTGTAGTTCTGATTTTAATAAATAGTGATATGACTTTCCGTAGGCAATCCTTATGCATGTGAATAACGTGAACAGGCCATTTCCGTTTACTATCATATCCTTCCGAGTATAGTACACAGGAACAGAACAAACTCCGTGGCCTGTAGTCCGCAATCGAACTATACCGACCTAGCGACCGCCGCTTGTCGGCGAAATTAGTGCCAAATTTAAGGATAGAGGGTGTCACGTGATGAGCGCAACGGATTCCCAAGACCGTTAATCTCGGTATTCTAGACCGTAGCCGCTATCTCCTTGAAATAGGTTCTCAGTCATACTCATGAGGCTGAATGGACCCCGTTCCAGACCCACTTCTTCTCAGAAAACCTGCTAGCGCCGGGAATCGAACGTGGGACCTCTGGATCTGTAAGCAGGAACTCTGATCACTAGACCACAGAGGCAATCCACACAGGAACAGTTCCCTCCGAACATTATATTGCGGAATGTCATACCATTTCATGGTTTATTTAATGAAGCTATGCATGAACTGGCCACAATTTATGAAGTCTAATGGGTTCTCAGCCGGTCACGGTAGCCGAGAGGTCTAAGGCATGTACTGTCTTCGCTCGCTTGGAAACCGGGATGGTGGGTTCGAATCCAACACAGGGCATGGATGTTTAGTTTTTGTGTGTGCATTTTTCTGTGTTTGTGTACAGGTAGAGGTCTTGCGACGAGCTGATCACCCGTCCAAGGAGTCCTACCGAATGTGTTAGATCTAGAAAAACCGAAGTGAACGGAGAAGTTCATGGAGGTAGACCTAGGCCCACTGGGGCTGTAGTGCCAAGGAAAAAAGAAATGGGTTCTCATTTAGCTAATTTTGTAACGACTTATTCAACTAAAATTTCACATAGCCTTATATTTTCCACTGGATCTACTGTCCCCTTTTTCCCTGGCCTCTGATTTTCAGTTTCATGATCATTTTACAGACGGTAGGACTCCTTGAACGGGTGATCGGCTAGTCACAAGGTTTCTACCTAAACATAGGACAACACAAACACAAAATAAACACATACACCAAGCATCCATGCCTTTTGTGGGATTGGAACCCACGATCCCGGTTTCAGAGCGAGTGAAGACAATTCATACCTTACACCTCTCGGCTACCGTGACCGGCCACATAGCCTTATTTTTATTTCCTTGGCGCTACAGCCCCAGTGGGCCTTGGCCTACCTTCATGAACTCCGTTCACTTCGGTTTTTATAGATCTTACACTTTCGATAGGACTCCTTGGGCGGGTGATCAGCTGGTCGCAAGGCCTCTACCTGTACACAAACACAGAAAAACGCACACACAAGCTAAACATCCATGCCCTGAGTGGGATTCGAACCCACGATCCCGGCTTCAGAGCGAGCGAAGACAATTCATGCCTTAGACCTCTTGGCTACCGTGACCGGCCACATAGCCTTAGATGACAAGAAAATTGTTTTGGAAAACATAGGTCTAGTGTTATTGTTGAAACAGAATAATTGTGAAGATATCCGGGGAGATTTAACGTTCTCTTAAATGAGCAGAGGAATGCTGTATCATGTAGCTTCAGAGTAGAGAACATATCAGATTGTATTGGGAATATTATCGGCTCGAATATCTGTTGCGGTACAGCAATTTTAGGTGGCTTTTATACCTCTATTCAGCAATTCCAAGCGGCTTACCGGCTATTCCATTCAGGTAGACCACATCCGCTTCCTTTGCAGTCAGTTATTATGTACAATACAGAAACATTTCGGGGGCACGCGGTAGCATAGTTGGTTGAGGCACTAGTCTACAAGCCGGAAGGTCGCAGGTTCAAGTCCCGGTGAGTTCATTGAATTTTTTTCAATTGACCTAATCCTTCCGGCCGCACTATGGCCCTGAGGTCGACTCAGCCACTAATAGGAATGAGTACCAGGAATTAATTAAATAATCTGTGAGCCGATTGTCTAGATAATGTGGGACACTCAACACCTCACAACCCTATGGACCTTCACGGCCTGTTACAGGGATAGCTTTATTTTTTTTTTACTTTACAGAAAAATTCCTGGTCCTTTCGATGCATTAGTTTCTCACAGTTCATACTGCATTTCAAGTTCTTCTTCTATCAAAAATAATACAGTACTGCAATGATAGAAGTCTGTACTCTCGTTCAGATATCCAGAATTACTGTTGATTTATGGGTTATTTAACGATGCTATATATCAGTTTGCCGGTCACGGTAGCCGAGCGGTCTAAGGCTTGTACTGTCTTCGTTCGCATGGAAACCGGGGTCGTGGGTTCGAATCCCACTCAGGGCATGGATGTTTAGTTTGTGTGTGTGCGTTTTTCTGTGTTTGTGTACAGGTAGAGGCCTTGCGACGAGCTGATCACCCGCCCAAGGAGTATTACCGAATGTGTAAGATCTAGAAAAACCGAAGTGAACAGAGCAGTTCATGGAGGTAGGCCTAGACCCACTAGGGCTGTAATGCCAAGGAAAAAAAATGTCAGTTTCCTTCTTTTAGTTATGTAAAAGTGTGAGATGTTTAATTAAGCAAAAGGAAACTTTTACCTTATCATAACTCAAGTATATCAGTATGTTGTGTGGAAAGTCTGTTGATTGGTTCTGGATTACTTAACGATGACCAGTCCTCAAACATAATGTCGTCACCGTCACCACTACAGAAATTACAGCAAACATATCCATCACTTCAATATGCAGGTAGTTAACCGTCAACTCCCAACTACCATATCAGCACCATCATCAAAGACATTCATCTATACTTTCTATAAAGCTCCCGCTCCATTGTAGAATTACTTACAATTTATTTGTACTTTATAAATAAATCTTAACATATAATTTTATGTATATATTAAAGTTTGCGACGAGCTGATCACCCGCCCAAGGAGTCCTACCGAATGTGTAAGATCTAGAAAAAAAACGAAGTGAACGGAGAAGTTCATGGAGGTAGGCCTAGACCCACTGGGGCTGTAGTGCTAAGGAAAAAAAAGTATTAAAATGGACCTTAGAGAGATAGGATGGGATGGGATGGTATGGATTGGATTCATCTGGCTCAGGATAGGGACCAGTGGAGGCCTCCTGTGAACACGGTTATTCATTTTCGGGTTCCATAAAATGCTTTTAAATTCTTTAGTAGCTCAGATTTTGCGTCTTCTCGAGAAGGGCTCAGCTCCATAAGTAAGCAAGTATGTATTCTACCTTATAGGACTAGATTAAATAAAGCAGTCTATAAGCAATATTAGTTAATATCACGTAAAACTTCCTCCCTACACATCCTACTAAAACGTATCATTGTGGCTTCAGATTGACGCCGAAACCTGTAACTTTTTTAATTATTGTAAATATTTTTTTTTTTTACTGAAGTTGCCAGTATGCATTTTCATCGCGTCATAGTAGCCGATCTCCTGGCCGAGATAGGAAAAATCATGATCTACCGAGAAAAAAGCAAATTTCTGGACGGCAACTGTATATTGGAAGGTCTGGGATAGATGATTTTAGTGATCGTTCCTGTTGTACACTTGTGTCCTTGCTAACTCTATACGACTTGATATCCCAGAAGATAATAATCTTCACAGACGTCCCTGTAAGATACTCAAATCCTATATAAACTACGTATATTTGTTTATTTAAAACAATTCATGTTAGAAAGAATATGCTTCAGTATACATTTAAATACTTGACGCACGGCAAATCTTAATTTCTCTTTTTCATATTTTTAGACCATTATCTCACCTGTAACTTCCATGAATGATACATAAAATGCTAATAAGCAATGTGAAATCAAAGAGTTTATAAAATTAATTAAAGCGTTGGCAGGATCCTCTACTGTTCTGATGTTGGATAGTGTTTTCCTTTGTATTACAGTTAGATATAAAATAAAATATATTGTATAAATTACAGAAAAATTACACAACTGCTAGGGAATCATGATACACTAGACAGATTGCAAGAAATTTTAGAGCAAAACTTACGAGTATTCACAAATGTACATAGTTTTTTGTTCAAGGAGAAAATTTTGAATAGCTGAGTTCATCTGTTGGAACTAGCAGAGATTTATGAGAATGACAGGGTAATGTACATATTTAGCTTCACTTTTCCATAAACTACAGACATAAACAAAAACTATGTCGTGTGATAATGGAACAAAAGAAACATCATGAACAGTTTGTTAGTAGTTATATTGAACAAAATTCACATACAAATATTAAAACAGTACCAATATCTACCCAAAACATAATAACAACAACAAAACAAAGAAACAGACTGCACACAATATTTTATTTCAAAATACATCCCGCCACTGATAAGGGAAGTTCAGTGGCGTAATGATCTAACAACAACTCACCGTTACAGCACTGTCAGTAAACATCTATGCATGCAACACAATATCTGAGCAGAATTTTCGCATGGTTTATAACAGTGTTACTGCCACCTTTCCTCTAGTCCCTTTCTTTTCTTCTACGGAAAGTCGTTTTCGTGATGGTACAATGTCAGATAGGTTTCTTTCTATGGTTTTTTAAAGAAATTAAGTCCACTTTCATATTTTGGGGATTTTAACCTGAATTACACAATTACCCTAACACTAGGGCCTGATTAAAATTCCGTTCCACAAATTGACAATTATCGGTAAGATCACATAGAGGTTACTACTCCTTACGCTACTTGGTTTCTGGGTGTGTATGTAAATGAGGTAAATTTAAAACAGACACGTCTTGCTGGAAATCCATATATGCCCCAAGTTCACACGACAAATTCATTCATTATTTCTTTATTTATAAAAATATCACAGTCATTTTCAATTAAGATTGATTTTCTTAAAAAGTATTTTGGAAGTGCCGATATACTGATGGCTGATATACCAGGACTTAGTTCAGGATGTCAACAGATGTTGAAAAAGTTAATTGCGAACAATTACTCTTGTTCCTATACCAGGACCACTAAAATACAACGATCTATGCACTAGGCTCTGGAGTTTACTCAGCCTCTAACAGAAATGAGTAGCAGGAATTAATTAAATAATTTTCCTGGCGATAAAGCGCGGCCGGCGCGTAAGGCTGACAACCTTACCGTCATCTTTGAGCCGATTGTCTAGATAATGTGGGACCCTCAACGTTTCACAACCCTATGGGCCTCCACGGCCTGGTACAGGGATAGCTTTGCTTTTTTCTTTACTATGTAATTGAAGAAGACATGTCCGTACTCCTTTGCGCGCCTCTACGTTGTAGGAATTTTGTGTAAGATCATAACAACACTGAAGTAGGCTTCTGATAAGTGTCGTTGTTGTGAATTATGACGGCTCGTCTCTACGTGATAGAAGTCTTGGCAATACCAAAAGCATCAGTACTAAACACTGAAATACTAATTAGACGAGTTATAATCTCCAGCATTCGTGTAAATCTACGTGTATGTCCCTATCTCACGAACGACTGAATATCGTGAGCTTGGTGTGCATATCTGAGACAGTTTGGCCTCCAGGAAAACATTAATTCTAGCAAGAGTAACGTAACATTGAAGAAATACGGAATACTCCAAAATGGGGCGACAAGAGAGCACTTCGTTTCAAAGTATCCTGCCCTTCTATCGATTGTACTAGAACTAAGTCTTAAAAATGAGAGAGATGCATATGTTGACGGAGTCGAGTAAAACAGTTTTTATTACATTTGTGCATAAACTTGGACTTCGTTGAGAGAAAAGATTTACAGAAACAATTTTTTAGGATCGTTCTTCTACGGGTGTTTTGAATTGATGCAATTATGAAAATGAATTTAAGGGGCAATTATTCCAATTGTACCAAGCAATATGATTTCTGGGTACACTTAAAAGGATTCTGACGATGGTGTATACTGTACTTCTTTTGGCTTCTTTGGACTTCACACATCGTCTGGTATGTAAAAGACAAAAGACCACGACGTTTCATTTACTGGTCCAGTGATTGAGACTAGCTCTTTCTAACAGGCCCAACTGAGTAGGTTTATCCTTCCCTATCCACCTGAAGACGGAGAGAGATACAGTCTCCGAAACGTCGTTGTCTTTTGTCTTTTTACATACCAGACGATGGATGAAGTCCAAAATAAGCCAAAAGAAGTACAATAAGATTTCTGGCTGTATTTGGTGCCTCGTATGTAAGATTATTTTGTTAACTCATTTGGGGGCAACCTCCATTACTTCAGTGTGGAAATTCTGTGGAAACAACTGTAATTGTTAAATTGATCAGTCAGCCAGTTATTGTTGTTTTGTTTAGGAAAAAATTATTTTCAATTAAACTGTGGAAAAAGTCCAGGGGATAGAACAGAGTGCGTTTATTGGTGTTTCGGTAAAGGAATAAAAAAACATTCCGACAATTATTATCGAAGCAGCAGTTTTAGTCGTTTTTAATCTTTTGAAAAATGGCACATTTTAGCAATAGCTCATTTTTGTATAATCATTTCAGCCCCAAAAGTTATACTTCCGAAATGGATATCCCCAGTAAGTGGATACATAAAAGGCTTGTCAAAAGTAAGTACTTTTTAACGGCCCCGAGTGGGTAGGTCTACCGGCAACAAGATGTTTAAAACTGAAACAAAACATCGAAAACTTAAACTTTATATGATTTAAAAGTATTACGTGAATTAATACCGAGTTCCTATGGACCTCGATACAGCTATCTGTATAATATTAACGAATATCATGAAACTCTTAATCCATAATTTATTTTCCGTGCTTCAAATTATTATACTGCATGTACTTTCGGTAATCAGCAGAGTAGCTCATTCTGTGCTATTTCAATACGAGGTGGTGCTCCACGTTGGGTTATATTTCAGTCGCTTCCAGAGCGAATGACAACAGTTTATATGGGAAAACTCCAAATGTGGTAGTTCGCAGAACATTCAGGTTGGTATCTGGTATTTAAGGGAAACATGTTGCCCCACTTTGAGTAAAATGCTTGTCTTACACAACAGTCGCTTTCAGAGAGAAATATGTGTTTGTTTCCATGGTGAAACTAGCTCCCTGCAGAGTCGTGTGCAACCACAGACAAAATACCCGCGAACAATTATTCCCATAAGCACCACTAATGTTAGAATCTACTTGATGATACATTTCAGATAGAGAAATGTTCGTCCGTTCCCACTTTTTCACATCAAAGATTCAATGTTCCTTTGTAAAACAAAGACTGGAAGATCTGTGATAGAACACACATCCTAGATCTGAGAACAAAAGGAACTTGTTGATCCGCAGACCAGCGGCGGGTCACGAGAGAGTCTCTGAAGACTGAACTCAGATCTAGGTGGCCGAAGGTATCGTGTCCAGCGAGATGTAGCTGTATACCACCTTGGCAGCTTTATGCTTAAACCTGTAGAAACCAATGGCAAGTAGAGATGAACCCAATATTACCATAAAAGAGCTTATGAAGCCCTGAATATTGGGCAAGATGACAGCGATGAAGTACATCAGGTAGACCAAGTATGGCGGTACCCCCACTTGATGCTGCAAAAAACAATTAAAGAAGTAGAAAGTAAAAACTAAAATTATAGGCTGGAGGTAGAATGCAATGCAGTATGATACAATCCATTACGTTTAATTTTTTCCTACGAATTGATAATTCAGGGATTCTAAAGTTTTTATGCACATTTATAATAACAGCTTATTTTTTTATTGCTAGTGGGGTGGGACTAAGTCCCTCGCACTGCGGCCAATTCTGGTCTATTGTACCAGCCCCAGATGATAGGTGAGGGTGATTGTGGAGCAATTGGTGGAATGAAGATTGGCAGGGGAGACCGAAGTACTCGGAGAAAACCTGCCCCCGCGCCACTGTGTCTACCACAAATCCCACTTGACCAGACCAGGGATTGAACCCGGGCCGCCGTGGGAAGCCAGCGACTAACCGCTTGAGCTATGGCACGGCCTTAATAACAGCTTAAAAGTACGTTATTTTGCAGTATGTACACTTATATGTAACATAAACTAAAATGCATTAATCCCAAACTGTATTAAAATAGTTTCTAAAATAAATAATTCAAAATGAAAGATTCGCATAAAATTCGAACAGCAATTACTGACAATAACGACGAATATTGAAGTATTTAAGAATTATCTGTTCTGGATTCTTTTAAGTTGAACAGAAAAAAACTGTCTTTCGGTTACCCTTTATCTGTCTGCTATTCAGCAAGGTTTGATTTACTAATTATCACTTATGTTACTGGTGAATTTCAGATAAGCCATATTTTGATTCTGCTTAACCGTTTCTGAAGAAACAATATAACGGATTTATTGTCCATGGACCCAATTGTTGACCAACTAATTGTCTTACTACAACACAGACCAAATTTTTAAACTGACTAATAAGAAAACCCTGAAGTTTAAATAACACAATTTAAAGCCCGTTTGATCAGCGTCAGAGTTACTTTACAACTGGCAGTTTGCCACAAATCAGTTCATCTTGCCGACAAGCCCCTTGAGACTCACGAGCAGTGATTTTATTTTCCAACTGAACACTTGCGTTTGTAGTTATTATGTAACATCTTGTCTGACAAGAGGGTGGGTCTGTCGTTTACAACTGCTGCTGGTGCTCGCCAGCGCAGTCTTTTTCAGGTTCGAGTCCCGCGGGACTCATGACCATATTTTACACTCACAGATTTGAGACCCCAACCTGGAGGGCCAGGTCCCAGTATTTATCCACACGAGATGAATTATTCTTCAGAATTAGAATCAGAATTACTTTACGACTGGCGGCTTACCGTCAATCAGTTTGCCTTGGCGTGATTCAGAGAGATTACGGACGAGAAGACACTTACCAGCTGCATCCAGAATAAAGGAATGTACGAGTTGGAGAAGCCTGACACTCGACTGTAGCCATTCACATCCTTTACCGCCAAATTACATTGGACACCAGCTTTGCTCTCCAATGGCAGACCTGTGTTCTAGAACAGAATATTACAAATAATGTTTAAAGTAAAAATAGCAATTCTAATTATAAGTATCAATTTAAATATCGCGTCTTTTTTGGACCGCCACTGTGGTCCAGTGGTAAGAGTTCTTGACTACAGATCCAGATTATGAAGTGTGTTATTAGAACAGTCGCTAATCATATTTAGTAGATTTCTCAAGTCGGAATCTAAGTAGCATAAGAACTATAGTTACTGACTGAAATATTGAACAGGCTCCTCAGCCAGTGTGGTATAGTGCATAGCATTAGTCGCTCTTGTCTCCCCGCTAACGCGAGGCCTGGATACTGCATCTCATTGCCTGGTGCTAAACCAGTACCTATCGCCTGTAGTTTCTAGTCCAACCCCCATTTCTTCTCGAATAGTAAGCCTTTATAACAAGCTTACTGTCGCCCAGCCTTCACTGTAGCCCATACTCCTAAACTACCAACATTTACAATAACAACGACAAGGGGAAGGAGAGGCGGATAAGAAGGACGCAGCGGCAACCTGCAAACTGGACACACCAACAAGTGAGAGGGAACGGTTGGAAAGAAGTCGCAACCAAAGGTGGGCAGCGAAGAGCGGTTATTGAGAGGAAGTGGTGACCAGCAACGTTGGGCCAAAATTGGTAAAAGGTGATTATAGGAGGAAGCTGTACCACTCAGTTATTTAATGTGTTTGTACTTACCGGTTCGACAATGACGTGGGCGGAATGTATCTCTTCATCAGGTTGCATTCCATCAACACTGTTCCTGACAGCTGGATCGGCGGCTAGGAAGTGAGGAAACGAGGCAACTATTGGCATATCTGTAACAGGTCAATCCATCCGTGTCTAAAAACCATGCATGCTACAGATACTACACTGTCTATATTATAAGTGTGAGATTTTTCTAATATAATTAAATAAAATAAATAAATAAAAGTGGCCGCAGTACAAGGGACTTAGTCTCACCCTACTAGCAACAAAAAAACTAAGTAACTAAATTCTTTAATGTAGCTGAGATCTTGAGAAGCCTGCAGTTGTACAGCTACTAAATAGATTCCCAACATTTTATAAACCCCAAAGGTTCATTACCCTATTCACAAGAACCCTCCACTGGCCCCTATTCTGAGCCAGATAAATCCAGACTGCACCACCCCATCCTATAACGACATTGCATGTCCTGATATTACGGACGGAGAAGGCGGCCTGCATGTATGGAAGGTAGTCAGATATTACAAAATTAATTTTGACTGCACTTAGACTTGAAAAATGAATCAGATTGAAATGTCTGTAACATTATAAAAAAAAATCCGTGGTTTTGGTCCGCAAGCGAACTATACCGACCGAGCGACCGCTGCTTTTCGGCAAACTGTAATATAATAATACTTACTTACCCATGGAGCTGAGTCCTTCTTGGTGAGCCTCTAATTCTGCAGCTACTCAAGAATTTCCCTGCATTTTACGGAACCCGAAGGCTCATTAGAGTCTTCATAGTTGCCCTCCACTGGTCTCTATCCTGAACCAGATCAATCCAATCCATCCCATTCCATCCTATCTCTCTAAGATCCATATTAATATTGTCCACCCACCTACACCTTGGTCTTCCCAGTGGTTTTTCTTCTGGCTTTCCCACCAATATACTTTATGCTTTCCTTCTCTCTCTCCCATTTGTGCTACATGCCCTGCCCACCTCATCCTCCTTGAGTTGATCATTCTAATTATACTTGGATAGGAGTACTAGTAATGAAGTAACATTATAATATCCACAAAAAAATTAAATTTTTCTTCGAATATATAATAAAATAAAAAAAAAATAAAAATGGTACTAATGCATAAAATAGGAGTGAAGCTGATCACTCACCTTCATCCAGGGGCGATATCAAGACCTCCACTCCCCCATACATCTTCATGGACTGAAGCTTAATTAATTATGTACAGGCACAACTTACCTTACTTTATTAATAAGAATAAACAGTGTTCCATTGACAAGTCAGACATGGGATCCGTTACTTAAACAGAGCTTACTGAAGAAGCAGGGGGAGACATCCGTCAAGCCGTCGGGATGTGGCTTGGATCCAGGCAACGTGTAACAGTCAGGGCTTCCGTTCTTCGGCCTGTTGAACGTGTCTAACGGTAATGTGTAGCGGTAGGCCGTCATGCCCTTCTCAACAATCTCCTCTAGAACATAAGAAGAGGCACTACAATTGAAGACACTTATGAACAGGTAAACTGGGGGTTGAGTAATACGAATCTGCAATCGCCTCAGTAACAGTCGGGAAGAGAATGTGGTAGTTGGAGCTGAATGCATGAATGAACCAATGTAGACTAATCGAAAGCAGCGTAATTCGTGACTATAAAAGATTACATACAATTTTCCATTTGGCTCTTGACCTGTGTGGTCCTGAATTGTCGGTGAAAACCTACTCGTCTGATTGAACATCTACCATTTTACAAATTTTCAAAGAAATGCATTTTTCCCTGACATCTTAGAAGTTGAAAAATCGCTAAATTTGCACTATTTATTGTGTGCAATATAGCTGTAAGAAAGCTGATTAACTTCCAATGACACAGGTTTTGTACTAGGGGCCATGAAAATCGACCAAACAGATTAAATATTAATATTACAACGAGGCACACACACAATAACATAAGAACTAAACCAACATTTCGTTTCAAAGTAGAAAGAGACTAGATTTTTTTTTAATATAAGAAGGGCAATTATTTACATGAAACCTGTGTTTTGTGTTCAACATTAATTTTCCCATAATATTCCTTTCCTTATACATTACCGTTTGTTATCCACTTACTTTGATATACTATAGGCGTGACTCTACATAAGGTCTTGCGGAAGAAATGAAGATTGTCTTCCTTGGAAATCTGTTGATGGTACAGGATTCCTTCTGTGGCCAACTTCACAGAATCACACGTCATGTTCTTCCAATAGCCAAATCGATTTCTCCCGTTATACTGGTCCATGGTGAAGAAACGCCTCGAGTTGTCTGGACCAATGAAAACGGTCACATTCTCCTTGAATTTTCTGTAAATCTGGCGTATAACACTCCTCAATATGTCAGTCTATTACTCTGGAGGAACATTCAAAACCAAATATTGATATGCCGTTTAAAATGGGGGGGGGGAACTCCGGGACCTGTAGTCTCCAAGCGAACTATACCGACCGCCTCTTTGATCTAGTGGTCAGATTTCCTGGATACAGATTCACAGGTCCCGGGTTCGATTCCCGGCGCTACAAGATTTTCTGAGAAGTAGTGGCTCTGGAACCAGTCCACTTAGCCTCGTGAGGACAATTGAAGAGCTGTTTCAAGGAAATAGCGGCTCCGGTCTAGAAAACCGAAATTAACATCGGTGGCTACCCGTTGCTCTGGCAACGCTGAGCACCCAAATATATAGTAGAATAAAATAAGAGCCACATAACTGTATGTTGTTTCAACTTAAAGTGCACTAGAAATTTCGCTAGTGACACTGAGATTACTGCAGGTCCTTCTTAATCCTCACATGCTATTTCGAAATTTTGGACCCAAAACCATAGTAGTTCTACGAGTATTTGTTTCAATACAGATATTTCAATGTAATCTCTTGCGTTAGAGGCAGTATGGTAATATAACATATATCCAAGCAATTAATTAAAGCTGTATATAGCTGTAAATATGGAGGTCACAGGTCAGGAAAAATGAAGTTCTTTTGTTTGATTTAACCGGATATGTGAGGCCATGTTTGTCCTATATAAGGAAAGTGTGGTCTTTGTATAGTTCCGTATGACACACCCAGAAACAGATCTCATTATATGAGGCTTATGTCACATTTAAGTATTTTCAGCATTAACACATTAACAATTTGTAATAAATCAATGACAAATTTATAACAGAAAATTGTGATTTGAGCCCAGAGATTTTCAGTTTAACATAAAAATATTTGAAAACTCATATGAATAAAATAATCCCAAGGAATAAATAAAACAGGGGCCTTATTACATTGTAAGTAAGATAATTCCAAAACTTTAAAGAGTCAACTTATGAAACGAAAGGAAATTTTACAACCAAATTACACATCCATAGTAATATAATTTAGCATCTTCTTACATCAATATAATTAACTCGTTACATAAGCATTAGAGTCTCAAATACAAAATTTATTCTTGCTCTTGTGTATCCCTTTTAAGACACGTTTTGGCCGTACGTGGTTTCCATCAGGCACATATTAATTCTCTCCAAATTTTTTTCTGTATATGATATTTTTACGCTTCTGAAAGGGTTAGGTTTCTTGCGGTGTTGTGCATGCGTACATAGATAGTAATGCACTGTTACTCTATGGCTGTTACGTATGTTGCGGTGTTGTGCGTGCGTGCGTACATAGATACTAATGCACTGTTACTCTATGGCTGTTACGTATGTTGCGGTGTTGTGCGTGCGTGCGTGCGTACATAGATACTAATGCACTGTTACTCTATGGCTGTTACGTATGTTGCGGTGTTGTGCGTGCGTACATAGATACTAATGCACTGTTACTCTATGGCTGTTACGTATGTTGCGGTGTTGTTCATTCGTACATAGATACTAATGCACTGTTATTCTACGGCTGTTACGTATGTTGCGGTGTTGTGCGTGCGTACATAGACGCTAATGCTCTGTTACGTATGGATATTACATATTCCGCGATAGCGTGCATGTGATTGTGAAGAAAGCAGTCTTCTGGGATTTGGCACCGTGTATATGTGGCGTTAACCGACGTTTCGGAGGAACGTATCGCCTCCATCTTCAAGGTAGAAGAAAAAATATAAGAAATCTGCAAGCGAAGAGACCGTGAGAACCGGTCTGAAGGTGGAGGCGATACGTTCCTCCGAAACGTCGGTTAACACCACATATACACGGAGCCAAATCCCAGAAGACTGTTTTCTTCATAGTCACCGCCGTGAAAGCCTCAAATCTTACATTGCATGTGATTAATTACCAAAGCACTGTTATTGTTTGGGTGTTACGTATGTTGCGGTGGGTTGCGTGTGTAGAGACCAATTCCTATTCGTTGTTAAGGTGCCTAACGTAAAGTTTCGTAAAGATATTCACCGACAAGGATGAATGTTGCATTGCGACTGTGATGCATATGTACAAATCTAATTATATCTTCACCTGCAGAAGCGTCTGAGGGACACGTGAGAGCTGCAGACATTTTGAAAACCTTGGCAGATCTGCTAGTAAAGTATGATAGATTTTTGTCAACTGTTTCTACTTATCTATGAGAAAAACTGTAATACATATCACGGTTTACTACTGAATTTCACATGAAAACACTTACCATATGAAGCACACCCAAATTGTCTACTGGAACTATCGAAGGCGCAATGTTGGACGCTAATGTAAGGAGAGGATCCGAATTGTTCCACAGGTAATTATACACAGATGTTTTAATCAGTGGTTGTGAATCTAGCCTTCTGATCACTAAGTTCACTCCAAATTTCACGAAAAATGGCGCATTTTCTAGGTAAGACGCTATCCCCTGAAACAACAAATTCATTATAAAATTTTAATTAATTACAGTAGCGTAGTTGGTTGAGGGGCTATGCTACAAGCTGGAAGGTAGCGGGTTCAAGTCCCGATGAGGTCATTGGATTTTTTTCAATTGACCTAATCCTTCCGGCCGCACTAGGCCCTGAGGTTTACTCGGCCTCTAACAGAAATGAGTACCAGGAATTAATTAAATAATTTTCCTGGGGAGTGAAGCGCGGCCGGTGCGCAAGGCTGACAACCTTACCGCCATCTGTGAGCCGATTGTCTAGATAATGTGGGACCCTTAACGTCTCACAACCCTATGGGCCTTCACGGCCTGTTACAGGGATAGTTTTACATTACTTTACTTTACACACTCAGTGTGTAAAGTGAATTCTTAATGCTGAAGTAATGCTCACTCTTAGTAGTCAAGACGTACTTCTCCATCTCGGGATTTATGGAGGGGACTTAAAAATCCATTTCAGAAACTAGTACAACATAGAAAATTAACAGAACTTGAATTCTTGCGGAACAAGTACATGATATGACATTTGGTACTTCGAACGTCACTAAGGGCAAGATAATTAAATGTATATAGATACGAAAATATAAAAATATACTTCAATGTTAGTTGAAGAGACAACATCACGGGAATTGTGAGGCTTACTGCTGGCCTTCATAATTACTGTTATGACTCTACAGCCCTTTTGAAGAACTTGGCCGCTTTTTCAGTTACTTGATACTATTTACAGTCGGTAAGACTCCTTGCAAGGGAGATCAGCCCGATTCAATGCCTCTACCTACACACAGGATAACACAAACAGAGAATAAACGTACACAGATATCCATGCCTTGAGGTTGGATTCGAACCAACGAGCCCAGCGTTCGAGCTAACGAAGACAGTTTATGCCTTAGACCGAGCAGTCGCTATGATTGGCGGCCTTCATAATACCGGTGTTAAAGGTGCGTGACGCTGCACTTCTCTCCTCCATACGAGTATATGTCGTGATGGAGCGGTGATTAATTAAGCACAGGAAAAACTATTTTACTGAAAATGCAGATGAGTATAGATTTTTCTACGGAAACGTGAACGGTAATCACAATTATTGACCGAATTTCGAACATCAGGATGGGTGGGAATATTAGTGGGAGAAAGCAGTACACAAGGGTGCATACAGTATTCGATAGACCTACTGCAATATTATTCTATGTGCCCATATCTGATCTGGGAATACAAAACACAACAAGATTACTTGTTATTTTAAAGAATTATTGCGTTTTCTAGCAGTTCCCTCGGGACTGAGAATTCTGTTTGAACATAAATTTTGGAAACATCAGAGAGAACATTTTAAGATATACAAATGGGAATTAGCTTGTATTGAAATTATTAGTCATATTTGTATTATTGTGTAAAATGTGCCAGTTACAAATTTCTAATTCTGAATAATCTATTCGCAAATCATAATATTCTCTAACACAATGGAACTTAGAATGATATGCTACAATAAAATATAACTTGCCATATAACTGTATAAAATTTATTTCCTTGTACTGATTATATTTTTTCAAAACCTCGACATATTTCACTCACAGAGGGCCTCTTCCAGGGTTGTACCATATTAGAAGGAATTTTATAGTTCACGAAGACCCATACATGTGTAGGCATATATTTATATAAAAAAATTTAAATTTTCTAGCCACACATTTCTTACAAAAGTTAAAATATATATTGTGATAAAATTTTATATGAAGGTAAATTTGTCATTATGCTTAATTAATCAATCACTATCCCATGAAGATATAACCATCGGATAGAAGACTGTGTGGGCCCCAGAATCGGTCTGGACGCTGTACCGGGACTGGCTACTGACTGGAGGCCGAGGGAAACGAGTTAGATTCCAGATAGGGACATAATTTTTTCCTGTGCACGTCATCCAGGCCGGCTATGAGTCCTACCAAGCCTCCTGTCCAAATGGTACCTGGGACCCTTTTCGCGGGTGTAAGGTGGTCGATACATGAAGCTGGCCACTCAACTCCAACTTGTGCAGCGGTCAAGGAAACGTGGATCTATACATCCACTTCCACATACGCCTTTCCGGCGTAGTGCTTAATTAGTTAAATGTAGGAAAAAGTGTATATAACATATTCACGAGTATATATGTGTGTGCTACATAAATACGTAGAGCCGAAGAGCACAGTCACTATAGCTACTTGCTACTGGCTGGAAACCGAGGGGAACGAGTTCGATTACAGACAGGGACAGAGTTTTCCTCCTATGCTCTTCGTCCAGACTGGCTCTGAGTCCTACCAAGTCTCCTGTCCAAATAGTATTGGAGGCTCTTTTCTCGGGTGTAAGACGGTCGATACATGAAGCTGACCACTCACAAAAATGTGGATGTAAACATACGCTCCTGCATACGCCTTCATGGGGTACTGCTCAATTAGTTAAATGAGAGGAAGAATTTCTTTAACATATATATATATATATATATATATATTACAGTATTACAGTAACTATGGCATGTATATATATATATATATATGCCGTAGTTACTGTAATAGCGTGTTGTGCTAGGTTGTATCATGGCGTCTAATAACTCCTTTCTTTTAAGTGTTCATAGGCTGAGTTGCTCTTGATAGGTGGTAATGGTGGAATATTTCTGTTTGTGGGTCGACCTTGTGAGGTTACCACATTTTAATAGATAACAAAGCGTACAAGAAAAATTATGTCCAATATTGCTTAGATCGTCGTATGAAGTCAGTACATCCTTCGAAAGTGTGGGACATTTCAACGGTCTGATACGAACAAATACAAATTTTGATTATGTTCACGAAAAGTTTATAGATTTTTCAGACTCTGGTCTTTCGTGTTGAGACACAGTATAAACTTGATGGCGGAAATCGAGGCATCTGAGGGTCATGAAGCCCATTTCACCGAACGAAATTTATTTTCTACAAGATTACACGGTACCACAACCCAGAAAAATGAAATATGAAGTGTGATTGACATTAAAAGTCTGAAATCCATAACTTCAGATTGTTGTTCCCAAAATAAACAAAAAACAAACTCCGTGGCCTGTAGTCCGCAAGCGAAACTATACTGACAGAGCGACCGCCACTTATCGGCGAAGTTAGTGCCATATTTAGCGGATAAACGGTGTCGCGTGGTCAGAGCAACGAATGCAAATGGCCGTTAATTTTGGTTTTCTAGACCTGAGACGCTATTTCCTTGAAATAACTCATCAGTTATCCTCAAGAAGCTGATAATTCTATTCCTTATGTTTCTGCTTCCTCAAAGCCTTACGAAACATAGGCTTACTTCGCATTGCTTCATTTCCGACTGAGAGAATTACGTTCATCCGAATGTACGTATTTAACTGAGTTCAGGTACATAGAATGGAAACAGGGTTTTCAAAAGTAATATAATAAATATGAATATGAACTTTCGAAATGAAAACTATGAGAAGGAAACAAGAGAGAAATTCCAAGCATATTCGTAAGAAACAAACCAATCTTCTCGCCAGAGAGGATGTTACGTAAGGATTATGTCCGCAAGTGTTCAGTTGAAAAAAGTTTCTGGTCGTGTGTTTCAAGGGGCTTTGTTCCAAGACTAAGTGATTGGCCTTAAACAGTCAATCATACAGTAACTTCCACATTTACTTTGACTTGAAGTTAGTTAGTTACTTAGTTTGGAAACCGTTGTCAGGCAACGACAGACGAATATTTAAAAAACTTTGTGTGCTGTACTAATTTGTATAATGCATAGATCCGTGAAACTGTTAAAAGTGCTCATATCTACGGCTTACAATTCTTCAATAAATTTAATAATAAATTTGACCTAATGTCTATTCACTAAATTGTGACAATATATATGATATAAGCACATTTTACCGTGAAAGAGACTTTAGATAGGTCTGTAATAGATATTCTCAACCGTTTGAGTTATATTTGAGTTTCTGATTAAGCTTCTGTTTCAGGTGACAAAATTAAACTCACCAAAAGGGAAAGGTTTGGCACAGTAAGAGTATCGTTGAGGCTCAGTGTATTCAATTCTGGTTCGAACACGGGGTTGCGCTCTGATGTGTATGTCATTGTGCCGTTGTCGTTCCATACGATGTTCGTATGTTGTAATTGTTCTCTGCAAAACACAATCAGCGCTCAGCATTGTAGGATATCAAACATAGAAACGATTTTAAACAGAATGTAGTAACAAATCAGAAGTGCTCACAGTCTCCACAATATGGAGAAGCTTTTATGATACACAATAATCATTTAGCTCAGGAAGCAATTCGTGGAAACACTGCTCAGTTAAACACAGAAATCATAAAGCAGAACTCAGAATATCTAAGATGTCATACACACAAATAATTCTAAGTGAAATAAAAAATGCAATCAGCATTGCTCACACTCTCAAGAATGTTACAGATGAAAACACTCTTCTATGATAAGGTAAAAGGTAAAGTTTTCCTTGTGCTTAACTACTTAAGCACTAGGCCATGAAGGCGTATAGGGGAGTGGATGTATAGATCATCATTTTCTTGATCTCAGCACTAGCTAGGTGAGTGCTTAGTTCTACGCCCCGTCCGCTTTACCTCCGGGGAAAAGCCCCCGGTTCCCATTGGATAAGACTTTGGGTGGACCCCAGAGCCGGTCTGGACGGCATGGAGAAATGAAAATTCTTGACCCTGCCGGGACTCGAACTGCGACCCTTTCAGTCGTCCAGGCCGTAGCCAGTCGCTATACCGACTAGGATATCCCAGAACCACTCCTCTATGATACATAATAATATAAGAGTTTTGAAAAAGTCTCGGATGCCGTACACGGAAAAATTCTTAGTGAAATAAATAACCAATCATCAGTGCGTGCTTACAATCTCAGGGATGTGACAGGTGGAAACAACTCACTGTGATATAGGGAAACTTAACAGCACTCTTAACAGTTTCGGATGACTTAGAGGGAAACGTCTCTAAGTGGAATAAAAGTATCGATCTGAAACTCACAGCCTGCAGAATGTTATGGAAGCTTGCCTCTGTCAAGCACAATAACCACTCAGCAGAAATATGACATACGTGTATGTAAATATCTCTCTGTAAGATACTATAACAAATGAGGAGTTCATAACTTGTACTCTCCTCCAAGTATAATTAGAATGATGAAGCTAATGAGGATGAGGTGGGCAGGGCATGTAGCACGAATGGGGGAGAAGAAGAATACATATAGGAAATTGGTGGGAAAGCCAGAAGGAAAGAGACCATTGGGAAGACCAAGGCGTAGGTGGGTGGACAATATTAAAATGGATCTTAGAGAAATAGGATGGTATGGGATGGATTGGATTGATTTGGCTCACAATAGGGGCCAGTGGAGTGCTCTTGTAAACACGGTAATGAATCTTCGGGTTCCATAAAATGCTTGGAAATTCTTGAGTAGCTGCAGATTTGGCGGCTCCTCAAAAAGGGCTGAGCTCCATACGGAAGTAAGTAAGTAAATAAGTAACATAACAATATAACAGTACTCGGATGTCATACACTGAAACAGCATTTAGTGAAACACAATAAGAAATCAGCAGTCCCCCAGTCTTCACGATACCATATTCGGAAGAGCCTTTCTATAAAATAAAACAAACACTTAGCAGAGCTCACTTTCTCTAGGATATCGTGCACGGAAACCGATATTCATGAAATACAGCAGCCTATCAGCAGTGTCCATAATTTTAAAGGCATCAAATTTGGAAATGCCGCTCTGGAAAGCACAGATTCTCAACAGTGATGATACTCTCCAGGTTATCATAGAAGGAAGAGCTTTTCTGCGAGACGGATTCCTCCCAGTGGGATTCTGAGAGTCTCCAGAATCTCAAACACAGCATCACCTTTTGGCCAAACACAACTGCCATTTAGCATGTCTGAAGGATATGGAAATTTTCTGGAAAACACAGCACTATTCAACAGTGTCTCTATTTCAAAAGAGTCATATGGAGGGACTGTCTGTGAAACGTAATAATCACTTAAAATTAGTAAATAATTCCCAGTGTCGAGGGTGACCTTCATGAAACGCCTCGGTGTGAATGTCCCAGCAAATCTCGCAGTACGATACTGAAATATTTCAAGCGATCACATTCAAGTTAGCCTTTCCAAAATGGGTAACCACTTAGCAGGATTTAGAAGGTCAGTTTTAACACACTCCCGACAGGCCGTAGCAATTAATTCTAATGTCTATCTTTAAATGGTAAAAGCAGCTTGATTCCCATGACAAGGTTATGCCACTATATAGCTGAAAAATGTACATACCTGAAAATGTAGGGCCCAACCTCCTGGAGATGTAGCTTCGTCTGTGTGCCATTTATAATATGTTCGTAGTTTGTGACGTTGAAAAGATAGAGTCGAATGAGCACTTGCTGGGGTGGGTCAGCCCACCACTCAAACGGCGGAAGGCCCTTTCTCATCCTCAGCCTCTGCAGCACGGAGATATCCATTCGAGTCTCATGTCAACATGACAATAGTTACATCATCTTTAAAAACTACAGACGGCGTTAGACGTACCTCTGTGAGGATCAGATCGCGAGGCGTCCAGATGAAAGTCAGGCAGCCCAGCACCAAAGACAGCATACCACACGCCAGATAGGTGATAACCCCTGCAACAGGATTAAGTTCGTATAGCCGGATTAGCAGAAACGTTGGAAAGGTTGTATTGGCCAAGATTAGATCCGGGGACATATGCATTACATCGGTTCTAATTTGGTCAGCAACAGCATAAGTGAGTGTGACATGTCATCCTTGCGTTGCTTCTATTGTTGTTTTATGGTGGCTCTTGAGGTTGTGGTGTTGATGTTGGTGGTGGTCAACTCCATGACTGCAGACTAAGAAGTGTCGATGGGCGAAATGAAAAATAACTAGCAATGGGTCAACCAAACCCCAGAGCTGTTCTGAACATAGCTTACCCAGGAGACGAACACCGAGATACCAGAACTCACAGGTTTCTAAGTTGGAAACTATGTTACACGTCAGTAATCTATCTATGTAAAATTATCATACCAATGAATACAATCGTGAAATGTACATTTATGAGCGTGATTGAGCTCAATCTGAGAAACATAAGCTCACTTCGAAAAAGTATTAATCCCTGCTATTAATGTAATAGGAATAATAATAAGATCATATTTTCTTAATTTGTTAAGTTGTTGGGTCTACTTGGCAGCAAAATCTTCTTCTCGTCCTTCGATCGTAGACATACTAGCTTTCACGCTTTCACACTTTCACACTACATATTTCTAAGTCTGAATATATATATATATATTATGTGTGTGTGTGTTTGTTGCTTGAAATTAAAATACTTCTATTGATGCCGAGAAACTAGAATCTATCCAGTAGAAGATTTCAGCCTTTTGTTTTACGAGTAATTACTTTCTTTCTCACGTCCAGTACCTTCGAGTTCCTGCTCCGTATGTCAGTTTTTCGTTTAATGTCAGCTTTTAAAGGCAAAATATTGTGACGCATTGCTAGGCAAAATTAGTTGCAAACGTTGAATGAGGTTACTTTGTCAATGAGAATAGATGTTTGTCGCTGGACAACGGCTTTGGTTACCAAGGCGTATCCTGCACAACGAGGAGATAAACAGCAACAATCTAACTCTTGGAGGAGGTGATTGCTATTAGATTCGCTGTCAGTTCATAAAAGGCCGTGCACTATTAAATATTTGAGGATTCAATATTTGAAGTGTCGCCAAGCAGACAGACGTCGTTAGAAAGGAGTTCAATGGGTTATCAGTTATATTCAAGTGTAACTGTAATAGTGGAGTCCAATAAACCAGACAAACAAATCTATAGCCCACAATTATTCGTCACACTGTCTCATATTCTTGACAGTATCTTTCCGCTAGATGCGCTTCAGTTGCTAATGTTGGTTGTAAAGGCGTTCAGATTTGTGGAACTAAGCTCCTTTTAATCACACATTATAATGGTATTTTCTCATTTAATAAAGTAGCAATTATGTTCTATATATGTGCATACAGTATTTACCTGCATATTTTCCCCACTGAATTATTGTCACATGTCACAGGGACTAAAGACTCGATTTGGATTGGTAATTGGATTTGTTAACCGCCTGCAGGCTGTAACTACAATTAATTATTACACTGTTACTGATTTTCACACTACAAAGCACTACACACTACTCCCTTCAGGCTATCTCCACTAGTTTTTACGGATTTATAACACAGGAACTATGAGAGTCCCCCTAAATCACACACTCCGAACACCACTGCACTACAGCACACAGTAATGAAAAAAAAATGTAGTAAAGTCTCCAGATCACACGTTAAATATTCAAAGACTGACTTCCCGTACTCATCTGTACTCCTCGAGCTTACTGCTTGCTTGTTCACGTGCTTCTGCCGTTCGTTGTATAGGTCTACAGGGTTATGAGGAATATCTTTGCTTCCAGGGAGGCGGTCAGTCTGATAAAAGTGATAATTTTGAATGAAGAACCTCTCATCACAACTCAAAATTGACTCCTTTTGTAGCCTCAGCTCGGTCCGCATGGTATATTTCTTCATAGTGCTTAGTTAATTAAACACAGAGACAACTTTATCTATAATAGTAGTAGTATATATCAGCAGTAGTAATATTTAGTAATACGTACGTACTAGCGATAGTGGCGGTGGTAGCATCAGCAGCAGCAGTTAGTAGTAGTAGTAGTAGTAGTAGTAGTAGTAGTAGTAGTAGTAGTAGTAGTAGTAGTAGTAGTAGTAGTAGAGGTATTTTAGTTATATATTCATTAGCTTGCTGCTTCTTTTTATTTACGTTAACACATCTTGCCTGGTAATTTAATTCCCATTAGTTAAACAGCGTATATGAAATATAGTGTTATTGGTAATCCCTGTAATAGTCCGTGGAGGCCCTTTATTCCCAGGAATATTCCTGGTATTCATTTCTGTTAGAGGCTGAGTCGACCGCGGGGCCATAATCCGGCTGCAAGGATGAGGTAAATTGAAAAAAAATCCACCTCATCGGGATTCGATCTCGCGGCCTTCCGGCTTCTAGCATAGTGTCCCAACCAAATACACTACCGCGTTCCCCACAGTCTTAATGGCTTATTTTAATTTATACTTGTTGCCTGAAATTTTTAGCTGTTGAACAACAGAGACAAAAATTCCTGATGCAAGGAGAAACAATTTTGAGTTTACTAAGAAGAGCTTTAACGTTAAGATACCTACAATCAATATCCGCTTATTCCTCATTTTAAAATCAGGCTGTGTGATAACTCAGGGCACTAAGTCCAGGGCCTCGTTGAAGAGGTCAATGTTCGCTCGTGTGTCTTGTGTAATCTATAAATTATGCACATCACTTGACAAGATCTCAGCTAGTAAATCTTCAGCAGTATTATGTATGAGATATAACTTGGAATTATGGAATGATGAAAGAGGTCTACTGAACCTCTCACGTGACGACCAACCTAAGATTCATATGGTGAAAACTGCGGTTCTAATTAACTCACCATTCAGACCGCGCCATAGCTCAAGCTGTTAGTCGCTGGCTTCCTACCGCGGAGGCCCGGGTTCGATCCCGGGTCTGGTCAAGTGGGATTTGTGATAGACAAATTGGCGCTAGGGCAGGATTTCTCCGAATACTTCGGTTTCCCCTGCCAATCTTTATTCCACCAATTGCTCCACAATCACCCTCACCTATCATCTGGGGCTGGTACAGTAGGCCAGAAGTGGCCGCAGTACAAGGGATTTAGTCCCATCCCACTAGCAATTAAAAAACTCACCATTGAAGTATAAATATTACTTTTGTTTGGAGAATATATTTCTAATAAATTTTAATATATTTAGCTACAAATAGACTGTATATCAATCACTTATAATCTGGTTTGAATAGTTTTTAAAATATTGATAATTCTGAATAGTCACTGGAGTTAAGTAAGTTGCAAACTTACGAATCAAATGTATGACATAAAACAATATATTTAATTCCTGCAATAATGTACAAAATATAAAGAGCAAAATATATAAAGTGGAGATCATAGTTAATGGAAATAAGCTGAAGGGTTTTTTTTTCATTCCCTAACAACCTAAAAATTTTATTATAGAGAAAGCAAACTCCTGGTAAGGCCACACCTGCTAGTCAGGTCGAAGAGTAAGGGCCAGACCAAACGTACCCCCTGGTCTTCCAAGTTGCGGATGGGGCGTGAGGTTCAAATCGTCACGTCGGAAAACAATATACTGTAAGTAACTTAGATGGGTGCCGTAAATATAATTTAGACTGACGTACAAGTAAAATTCATGATGCCAATAATTTCTAATATTATGATATAACGGCTGAAAGCATGAATAGTTGTACGAATAGATGCCGCCATTGCTAAACTGCTGTGAGATAAACACGTTTCAGCGGCAACAGATACTGACGCAGCGCTAGTGGATGCAGTGTTTCCTATTCCGTCCGTGCTGAGGTTATATTACTTTTATTGGCGGGATCGAATACCTCCACTGTAACTCTCCGAGCCGTAGGAGGCGACGAAAAAGGTCTCGAATCTGAGACAGTAAAAAATAGTCACGAATCTCACGGGGCTCGGAACCGAGAGTGACTGCGCTGGCGAGGGGCAGCAGCAATTGTAAACGACAGACCCGTCCTCTCGTGAGAGAGAGCGCCCCACATCAACAAACGGGCAACTGTCTGACAGAAATAACAACCTGGTCGTAAGCTCCAGATAGGTCCTTATTCCAAGAGAGACTGGCCGACTGACCGTCGATGGTAACATAAGGCTCAGACTTAGTCCTCAGTCTTTAGACATGAGACTGCGGTACGCTTTGTTGACTAAATGTTCTCGTATTCTAAAATTAAAGCATGGTTCATATACAGCGAGACCTCTTTCTAATAATTATCATCATTTAATTTCGTCTGTTTCTTTGAAATACTGGAAAAGTGCGGAAAATTCCAGTGCTTTATCCTGCTCAGCTTTCCATAAGATCCCTTCTTGTTCAATAAAAGGAACAAATTCATGCATACTATCTTCAGAGAAATTCCTCTTCTCGGTTGTCCTTGTCCTGTTTCGCACCGTAATTTGTTCTGTGAGCACAAAATAAATATATGTTCTGTAGATAAAAGTAATATCTAGAACGTGTAAGAATGTTATTTAATATGGCATCAGTCGTGTTACTAGTCTTTCAAAATAAAGAAGTAGAAAATGACATGTTTCGTGTAACATTGCAATCCCTCTTGAATTGTTGTAGGCGTGCAATACAAAATATCTGCAAAAATTTACATTACTTTCCAGAAGAAAAAAACATATATATGGTAAGATTACGAATAAAAGACGGCCTCCACATTGTAAGTAGCTCAAACTGTCTTCGACCAAGGCGCCACTTACTTGCTATTGGCATACAGGAAACAGCGTCTCTTGTTTTATTATTCCTGTTGTAAGTTTTTTTAATGACAAAAATTATGTGAAGGAAAGTATAATTATTCATTCTGGAGATGAAATGGATATGCCATGATCACTTTCAGTGACTTCATCTCAAGTCAATAATTCAGTATTAACATTCTCCCAAATATTACTGCGCGGGGTCGTGAAACATTCTACACATCTTGTTATTTCTTGTCCATAAACTTGAAAGGTGAATATCATGACAAGAGAA